CAGTCCTGTTTGAACAGTTTTTACCTGCTACATCACTATTCTCTAATTCCCAGTTTCTCAATAGATGCCAACCCCACCCCGATGACCTTTTGGTCTTCAGCTGACGCATCATTATGGCCCCATTAAAAATGGACAGCAAGCCATTGCCAGAGGGGCAGTTCTCATAATACAATAAGAACGTGTTTTAATGGTCTTGCTCTAGAAATTAGCTGCTGCATATTTGCGTCTGGGTTCCTTATGTTTGTTCTTTCATCATTGATCCCTTGTTTGTTGATTTACCGATTTACTTTCCTGCTCTTCCTCATATAGTGACTGTGTAAATACAGCACAAAGCTGGGTCAGCATAGTCATATATTGGGTGGGTTTTTTACAAGAACATTTATAGAGAGATATGTGCTCTAAGTTGGCTTCCTCACCCCGTGGCCTTTTGTTCTTCAGGTTCTGTTCTACACATGAGCACAAACTCACATACTGTTCCTTACTGCCTCACTTGCTCTTCATCTCACCCTCTCTGTCTCCCAGGGCGACAAAGCTAATTTGAGGCAGATCTTGCCCTAAGGGGTAAACTGCAGCATCCACACACACATGCCTCCACGTCCTCCTCCCCACTCCACCCTGACCACTTTATCTTCACCTTTCTGCCGTGAGCTACCCCCTGACAACCACAGTTAGCACTGACGCTAACTGATCTAGCCACTTACCATCATCATCTATGCAATTTTCCAGCAACACTGTCAATACCAAGAGAAAAATTAAACACACCAACAAATGTTCAGAACTGAGTGTATTAAGGACTTCTGGTCAAATATAAAACCATTTGAACCAATCAAAATGAGAGAATGGCTTGACACGTAGTTAATGAAACTGATATAGTGTGTAGGAATACATTTTTTGATACATTGAAATTAATAATAAAAAAAAAGCATAATGTGAAGATGGGAAACTTTGGATTTAGTAAAACTAATTTCAGTGAATTTTGCAAGCAATTGAAGAGGTTTTTTTTGAGAGATACCAATTTTTACAAAAGATTAACATCTTATATCTATGAAAAGGCAGTATTAAAACATGAGAAGCATAGAAGCCAACACTAATAGTGATACGCATTCCAGCTTTGAACAGTAGGAAATGTTTTTGTTAATGCATTTGATTAACTGTAGCTGGGTTTTGAGACAAAAAAAAAAAGAAGTCCTAGTTTATTGAGATTTAACACGATAAGGTCTTGACCACAGTATAGAGTATTGCTTAGGTGACTTTCTTTTTTCCTAAGGCAATTTTCTGGGGTTGAAAAAAAAAAGGGAATTTGGAAAAAATGAACCTGTCTTTGTGTTTTTCTTTCCCGAACTATCCCCCTTAAAAATGTCTTAGGACTTTGCCCCAATAAACAATTTCTTTTAACTCCTGAGAATATTAAACTTTTGAAAGAGTTAGATTCTCTTTGAAGGACCTTTAACTTCTTATTCTAAAAATGTTTCTTTTTCCATAGCATGAAATTGTTATTAGCTACTTGTTTTATCTTGTTTGATTTATTTTGTTTTTCAAAACTCCAAAAAGTAGTTTTTAATGTCTTTGATAAATTAAATCCATTATAATCGTTTAATCGATTGATTAAAAAATAAATTTCAAATTAAAATCTATTAGCTCTTCACTTCTTTATATTTGTTATGATTAATCCCTGGGTTAGGTAAAGATTTGATCCCTTAGATAAAATAATTGTATTGATGTATCATATGACACATCCCTAGGCTAAATGAGAGTGATGATTGAATTAAAGCTGTTTCATATAACAATCCCCCAACTTAAAAAGGTTTGTAGATTTTCCTAAACAGTTTTTGTAGCACCATGGTGGTGAGGGCAGACCTCTTTCCAAATGGTAGCACAATGAGAGGTGATGAATCTGTAAAAGCCTTAACTAACTGCAGAGCATGGTACGAACTAGAGATTTTCACAGAACACTGCTTTGTTGCAAAACGAGTCCCGAAATTATCACATTGGTGATCCTACTGTCATAGCTGAATGGATTATAAGCAAGTGCACGGCAATGCAGAAGACTTTTAAAAAGTGGAAACACTGTTTAGCTATGCTATACAATAAATCTATTGATATTTCCCAAAGGTCTAAGAAGAATTAAGATTGCAAAACAGAAAGTGGATATATCAGTTTTCCAAATGAGCTTTATTCATATGGAGAGTGGGACCCCTTGTATTAAATTCACACTCTGCACAACAAATGGGGTGGCTGTGGTCTGTCATGTTGATGTATAGATATGCAGCCTCATGTGTATGTGCATGATATATGTGTGTTGAGCAGGGAGGCAGTTGTAACAAAAGGCAGCTATTTGTTTGCCTGCTCTGGACAGAAACACATAAACACGTGTCCTTCACTTACATTCCTTCCTTTATCCAATAGAAAAAGAGGTCATTTTATGTTTTCGTATGTGTAAGATCTATTACCTCATGACTGTTAATTTTTTTTCTGTAGCTCCTCTTTGTGTCAGAACTACAATTTGACAAAATTTTTGATTTTAAAGCAATCTATATAAAAGGGTATTCTCTATCAAAACCAACATATTACATTTCTAAAGCATATTTCAATGGTATTGCTGTAACTTCTGCAGCCTTTTACAGTACATTGTTTGCAACTGATTTCAGGGTTAGCAGTAAATTGACAACATTCTTTTTAAAATTTTGGCTTTTTTTCACAAAAACAAAACCTTTATGTGCCAACAATAGGAAGAATCCTTATTTGAATTGATCTAGCAAAACGTTCATGGAATAAACTCAAACAGCTTTGGTAAGCTTCTGATAAGTTCTAAAAAATGAAATAAAATGATCTACTTTTGAGCAGAATTAAACTTTCTTTAAGAGTAAAAGTAGACACGACAAAAGGGAAGGTCATAGTGCTTTTCCTCTGAGTAGGAAATTTGACTTACATTCCCTTTAAACCTGAAACGTCTTGAAGGGGACATGATTTGCTTTCTGTATCCAGATCTTTTGGGGTCGGCTGTGACTTCACACACCTATATAGGTCTTGATCATTTTTAACCTTTTCTCACAATCTCTTTAAAAAAGAGAATTTGACTTTATGAAAATGCAGGCTTAGGCTGTCATTTTCTTCTGACAGATGAAGGAACTGTTAGAGATACATATAACACATGAAACAGGGTGTGTGTGTGTGGACTGGTTTTACAGTGGTGTGGGGACTTTTATCTGTTTACACAGTCACGTCATCAGGACCTATGTCATTATGGAGACCAAAATCCTGGTCCCCATATGGTAAAGTTCTGTTCTTTGAGTTGGAGTTAGGGTTAGGGTCTGGGTTAGGCCATATAAAAGGAATGCAAGTTAATGAAATGTCCCCATAAGTCATCAAAACATGACAGGGTGTGTTTGGGTGATGGTGTGTGGTGTTTGAGGCATACACCAGATAGACCTCTAGAAATGAGACATAGGTTCTGCTATGTCAGATCAACTGGGAGAACAAATGCTATGACAGCAGCTTGTTAGAGAAATGTGTGTGTGTGTCTGCAAAAACAAAAAGCGAGACTGAGCAAACTAAGTTATTAGCAGTTACTGCAATTTGATCAGTATTATTAAAAGTAAAATGTTTATAGCTTTTATTTGAATAAGACTACATAAGTGAGTAGTTAATTATGTAGGAACACAATGTAAGTTATTTTAATGTTATGATGGATGGCAAACGAAAAACAGGATCAGGAAGAGAAAAATCATTTTCAGTGTTAAGAAGCGCTGGGAAAGATGAAGAGTAGAATGGATGTTGGGGGGGCTGGCATGGTGTCGGCAGAGGCACGCTCCCTGACCACTCTATGGAAGGGGGCGTAGGCCAGGTCTCCCATCAATTACAACCTTGACCCTTCTCTCCTCTCCTTCCTTGCCGTCTCTCACACACTTTCTGCCTCATTCAAACATCCTCCCCTGCTTCTCATCCTCTGCTCCTATAAATCAATCTCTTTCCCTCCCTCCCTCCCTGTCCCTCCTTCCCATCCCCAAAGGCTTCTCCCATCTTCCCCCTCCTTCTCTTCCTCGTTTTCTCTATCTACCCTCCTCATCATCTCTCCCCACTCCTATGGATGTTTTCATCGCTGGAAGTGCAGTGGGAGTAGAAAGGTCAAAGGTGGGCATACAGGAGAGAGCGAAAGAGGCAAAAGGCAACAAGGGAATGTAAAAATGAGTGAGTGAGTGTATTTAATCAAAGTAGTGTTGGGCAGATAAAATCTATTGTTTTTGGCTTTATCTATCTCAGGGCAACTGGTGACATTCTTGGTTGTTGTTTTACCTTTCATCTTCTTCATGTAAATCACCGTCAAACAGCATAACATGTTTCTTGTGCAAACACACTGATATTTATACAGCCTAGTCCTGGTCGTTTAACACCAAATATCATCTCTAAACATAGATACAGGTGCTTTTAAATGTTGTGTTAGATAATAGATCATGATATACAGGGTTAACAGCTATTACAACAGGAACTGGGAAAACAAGCAGAAAGCCCTTTATTAGGAAAAGATTTATTACCACATGTGTAACTGGCAGGATTGTTTGATTTCAGCTATACTCACTGATGTCTTAAGGTGTCATTTTCAAGAAATGCATGTATATACAGTAGACCAAAGCTAAACGATTTACATATGTAAACTTAGGTTAGGCATAAATATGTGAACTATTTTATTGGCAAAACTGGTTTTTGTTTAAGTTAAGCTCATGGAACTGACAGATCTTAAGGTAAAGATGATATATTTTCATATTGAGGTCAGAGACAATAATTACTGACAGACAATATTGCTTTCATAGCCTTCTTTGTTCAATCTTAAACCAGGAATATTTATCCTCTTGCAAATTTCTATTTGAGTTAGAGTATGATTAAAAGAGCTAAAATTAGTATTTTTAAATCTAGAGTCAGTGTATCAGCTGTCAACTCTTAACTTTAGCTTCAGTATAAATTCAGAACATATATCAAGTTAACAGAAAATGGTAAGAAGAGACCTTTTCCCTTACCCTCCCTCAGCATGCCCACAGTCAGACACTTCATAAAGCGGCAGGCCTGGCATGACTTGCGTCTCCTCTTGGTGATCTCACACTCATTGGTGGCGGGACAGCTGTACTCAATGTTGCCTGTGGCATGCAGACAGTTTGCAGAAACAAAGAGCAGTTTAATTGCAGTTAGAAAACTTCAACAGAGACAGACATACATGCAAGTTAAAATATGCCATGGAACCACAGCATGTAGATTACGAAAAACAAAACTTAAAGAAAAGTTGTAGATAAACCAATGTATAAATAGTGTACAAATGTGGGTGTATATGCAAACACACTTGTGAAATTTAACAATAAACCTGGGGTTTAAAAGAGAAATTAGGTAATTGTTGGCGTGATGGTTAATTTAAACACATCACTGTTGAAGATTTATTTTTCTTTTAGCAATACTAATCCTTGAGAATTAATTTTGCAAGTTGTTGATAAAAGTGTTTAATATGGATAAGTTACTGTAAGGCTGCATGACTGTAAAAAAGGATGTGAAACGCAATAGAACAGCTGATTTTTATACGAATATTGATGTTGTGACATCAATATTCAACAGGACCACAGTTGAACACGTCACTTCTTTCATAGTGTTCGCCCCCTTTTTAGGTGACTGCATGCTAACCAAGATTTTTAATTCTGCCAATCAATTTTAAAGAAATATTTCTCCTTAACTTCCACATAAGCCAATAATTATATATTTTTGATAATATATAACTGCATTAGAATTTAATTTAAATAAAAAGATTAGGCTTATTTATCACTGAAATTCAAAGCACAGTATTTTATGTTTAAATGTTCATAAAGAAGTCCTAATAATAATTTTTAGGGGTGGAATTTAATAGTTTTTCGTCGTCTTACTCATTTTTGAGCTCAATGAATTGTATAACATATCCACTGGTTAAATTAACTTATTTATTAATTTGTTTGTGGTGACATGCTCAAAATGAACGACGACATAAAAAAAATCATAAAAAAGGCCAAACTTCAGTCACAGATAACCTTATCATAACTCTCTCTATAGGTTGAACCCCTCATTGTTGCAGGGTCAATGTTCTACCAGTTTCCCTTGTTTCATTTTATTTTGAAGGCTTGTTAAAGATTATGTGTATGGTAGGTCAAGCCACAGCTGTAAAGGAAATACAGAGGCTGTAATAGCTCTGTTAATAGATTTTTTTTTAGTATTTTTATCTCTAAAAACATTTGAATATTATATCACAATAAAGAATTGTTTTCTTAGTGTAAAGCTGAACCAATCATGGTAGTCCTGAAATAATTTTAGCTTAATTTGATAATACCATTCACATTCTACACCCAGTTGGAATAAACTGAAATAAACTTGTTTCTTGGCAGTTTTCATATATCTGCAGCAGTAGACATGTTAGCATATTAAACTGAATAAAGTTATCTTCTCCTCTCATTCCAGCCTGACAGCTACAGTACTCCAGCAGACCCACACATCTCCCACTGAAACAGAGTAAACAGTGATTACTATTGACTGCTGCAGCAGAGTGGATGTTTTCTCATTACTGGACTGATTAAGAAGCTAGTTAGCTTTGGAAAAGGCTAAATGCCCAAACACTTCCTAATGGGTAACAAGACACTCATTAATTGGCCCTGTTAGTTAAAAGGCTAAACACTCTAAATGCTGACAGAACTACAGTCTAATGGATGCTGCTAATGGGACTAGTTAGCCCACACCCAGCATTTAGAAGCTGATCTTACAGGAGGACTAGATTAATTCTTGCAGTTAAGAGGGACACTTCCCGTGCAGTAAGGCTAAATGTGCTAATGATATGGAATCTGCATGGACTAATGGGCACTGAGGAAAAAGCCTGGCACTTTCAAAGAAACAGGCAAGCTGTGAGTGCTGAACACTTAAAGAAGACACTCTTAAAGCTGAGAGGGTTGAGAATGCATACATTATATAATGCCTTCCATACATACATACATATACATATATATATATAAAATAGTACGACAGGATATTTAATTTTATTTTAATGCATGCCTAAATGTCTCTTAGTAAACAGAATAAAAGTTAGTATTAGAAATGTTATTCTCTATTTCTGAGTGAAAAAGTTTTTATGCACCTCCCACATGTGATGTTTGCATCACAACTTGCATAACACAATTTAAGATAAGGAATTGTGATATGCAGCTTTTTAATAATGATATTTTGTAATATTTACTGTGATGCCAAAACAGACTTTCAAAATTAGCAATATGTGAGTCATTGCATGCAGTCTGAAACCCTGGAGTATAAACTCTCTAGTAATGAAATCAAACTCTTTCTTATTACATCCGTTACATTAAGGTTGAGTAAACACTAACTGAATCTAATCAGATTTAAAAATGCATTCATATTTACTGAAGATATTATGGAATTAGCAATGGAAAGAGTATTAGATTACAATACTGTTCACCACTTTTTTTCTTCTGAAAATAAAAACTGCTGTGATAATTTCTAATTCCTTATTTAAACAGGTTAGAACCAAAAAGGGAAAAAAATACAATGACGTGACTATAGCCAAGAGATGCAAACATTAACCCTCATTGTTTCACCACTAAATAAAATAAGTATTAAGGAAAACGACCCAAACAGTTAGTATTGAATAATCTAAAAAGTCTTTATGAATATTGAGTTCTTTAGATTTCTAGTAATAATGTTTCTCAGCTGGTCCTTTACTATATCCCTCCTCCAATTTCGTTTTTCTTGCCCTCGTCCATCTTCTGTCTGAGCGTTTGCTTTTCTGTTGCCGTTTCATAGCCCCACACCTCCATCTCTCATCCATTGCCCTCCTCTACTTTCCCCTTTATCCCTCTTTCTCAATAAGGGAGTGATAGATGCAGGTTGTCAGGTGTTACTGGACTAAAGCCACAGAAACAGCAGCTGCCAGAGCCACTTCCTCCACACTGCGACACACACGTGCAAAAGCACGCCAGCCCACACATAGCACTAATTCCTTCCTACATCCATGTGCCCAGTTCATCCTCCCCCTTCTCCTTCGTTGCCCACATTCCTTTCCTCATTTTATTGTTTATCTGCCCCTATCCCTTCCTCTCCCTACACCATGCTCTCCTCCCTGTCCAGCTGGAGGTGTTTTTTTGGTGATTACCTGTGGTTTTATTGGCTAATGGGTTGAAACACACCAATATGTCTGCCACTACCCATCTGAGGCTGGCCCTGCTTTCCTGCCAGGACAAACAAACCAACACACACACAGCAGGAACATGTGCCCAGACGTGCACATAAACCTTCGCTCATTTACATTTGGATGAACCCTCGGACGTGCAGCCCACACAGACACACAAGATTCACTCCGTCTGCACTGAGTAACAAAAGGAAATATCACAACCCACTCGTTTTATGCATTTATAAATGCTTTTTGATCAATTCTTTCAAGTGACTGGTCAAGAAAAGTTTATGAAACCTAGTTTTAAAAATGTCAAAAGTGGGTTAATTTCTTCTAAAAACCTATCATCCTTTGCATCATCAAATTATTATATTACAATATACTTTTACTTAAATTTCACTTAAATCCTATTAATTCTGTCTTTAAAAGTCTTAAAGAAATGATATTCTTCCCTCTGTACGGGTAAAATATAGACTATATCGGAAGAATAAAAAAACAGGGCAGTGAAAATAAGATCTCTAAAGCAAAGCTATTCTTGCAGCTCTTAAGGATCATACCCAAAAAGAAGATCTATTAACTACTACAGCCTCTGTATTTTCTTCACAGCTGTTTCCTGACCTACCATACATGTAATCTTTAACAAGCCTTCTAAATAAAATGAAACAAGGGGAACTGGTAGAACATTTGACCCTGCAACAATGAGGGGTTAAACCTATAGAGAGTCATGACAAGGTTATGTGTGACTACCTATTCATGTACGTATGTGCAGGCTTTGCCTCTGCAGCTGGAGCTTGTGTGTGCATGTTGGTGTTTTTGCTTTTATCTTCGTGTGCTGAGAACTGATAGGAATTTAACTGTGCCCTTATGTCATCCCATAATAAATGCATCATCTCCAGGTAGCTGTGGCCATGTCGCATGTGAGACGACACCCCACCCACAGTCTACTCTCTTTGGTTTCAACGGGAAAGCTGCTTATCAGAGGCAAAGCAAGGCGAGCACAGACAGTTCAATGGATTAAAAAGCAGATAGATAAACCCTGCCTAAGATGACTGACTGACTGAATCCATAATTGGTAGCTGGTTATTGCAAAGGTAAACAAAGGGACAAGACTACTATCCTGTCAAAAGGGATCCATTAGTTAAAATAAGTTTTTTTTTTCTTTATATATATATACTTGCTGACTGTATTAAATTTAGTAAAGTGAAGCTAATCTAACTAAATGTGATTTAATCCGCTATGATCTAAAACAAGACTGTTATTTGCATAAATGTTTTTTCACTTAAAAAAAGTACCTTAGCATACCGGTACAGTATGAAGTAAATTCAAACCATTTTGAGCATAAGTCCTGCTGTGTTAAAAAAAAAAAAAAAAATATGTGAAATTCTATTTTATAATCTACATATCCTAAATAATAATTATTGGTTCAATAGTAAATAAAAAAATATCTACTTACTTGCCATGCAAATGATTGATGATTAATGAGAATTTTAAATCAAAAAGGTTTGGTCAAGTCGCAGGTTACTCTGTTTGATGCTTTAACTTGATTTATTTGCTATTCGACCAAGAAACTTTTATTTGTGATAATATATCAACATGAGAAAAAGTTGTTAGAATATGACTTCTGATACAATATCAGAAATTATAGCTTAAAGAATGCAGACTAAAACTATGCAGACAGCTCTCATCACATTTAAACGGTGTTAGAATTTGTTACATTTTCATTTTAGAGATGGAACATTTTAAGCTATTTTTGATAAACTTTAAAACCCATAAAGGTGAGAAACATCTCTTGGTCATGCTAATGAACTAAAATAAACAGTGTGAAGCAATCTATTACTATTACAAACTTTATCTTTCGAACAGCCTGTCTGAAATATTCGTATTCCTGGGTTTGCTTTTAAAAAATCTGAAAAATATTATCCTTTAATCATACTTTAAGAATAATTTTATCCTTAATAAGATACAGTTAATTATAATAAAGCAATTTATTTACAGAAACAAGTGGAGCAGTATGGCAATTGCGATACCGCTACACTTGTGAAAGTAAAATCTGTTGGGCTCCTTTTGGCATCAAGACAATTATTCTTATTGCCACCTTGCCAGACAGGACACTGTAAAAAAAAAAAAAAAAAAAAAAAATAAGATACAGTTAAACCCAACATAACCATGGCTAATATAGAATAAAGAAAACTGCAGTGTAATGTCTAAATACCTGTGCATTTTCCGCAATCATGTGGGCCCTAACAAGACATAAGCAGCGGATTACAGAGCCTAATTCCTGGAGCTCTTCTCATCATGTGGATTATTGCTCAATCCTGTCTTTACTCTACCCCCTTGCGTGGACTTTTGACCCGTTGACATGACCCCTGCCCTTCCTCTGACATTGTGTTATCTCCTAGAAAACAGGCATATACCAAACTCATTCCTGCCATGAGCAGCTAGATCTGGGAATGCATGCACTCCCAGGAAATTGTTTAGCTGTTGATAAAGGAGAGGTCAAGGTTGTGGTTGAAACTGGGCAGTGGTGTTAAGCTGATGATGTGTATATTACTATATCTTCAGTGTGTTATTGCAGTATAAGATCAAAACATAAATGGCTGGAGAGGGAGAAGAGGCCTCAGTTCCATGGAGGCTATAAAGGATATGCATTTTAGGCATAAGCATTTTTATGATTATCTAACTGTTATCAGGTGTTTGCATGATTACAGATGCATATGTAAGTTAGTTTCATATTCAAGGTTCGTATTAGAATAATTAATTGTAGAAACAACAAAATCCTTAAAGGACCAAGCTTTCATATTTAGATACTATAAACATTTTTGACAGGTTGGTTGTTTTTCCCCTATATAAAGAATTTAATTATGCCTAGATGTTTACATTTAGTAAGTATCTAGTATATAAAGAGAGTATAAATTAGAGCCAAAACTTATTTCTAAAAAAAATGCAAAAATGTTGCAATTCCCCATCAGATATGTCACATGGTCACTCAGACCACGACGAGGTGAAGACTGATGGGTATAAAACTGTTTGAGGAAAATTTTTATAAGACAAAAAAGAAAAAAGGTAATGATCTAAATATTAGTACAGGGAATATTCTAAATATGAAATAGAAGCCAACCTTGAATGGTGCGTTTGAAAAAAGCCTTGCATGCCTCGCATGATGCAACTCCATAATGGTACCCTGATGCAATGTCCCCGCACACCAGACACAACCTCTTCGGCATGGAATTCAACATGTACTCGCACTTAATTTGTGAATCTTCTCCAATTGTTGATGAACAGTCCTCATAACGTTTCGATCCGGGCCCTCCAGCAGGTCCCAGGGGTCCTGTGTTGGTACCGTAAAGACTCGGGGAGTCCAAGCCATTGGGGTGGCCGTTCATTGTGGATGAGTAGGAGCCAGAGGCGTCACTGGAGCCGCCAGGGGAGTGATGGTTTAGACTGTCAGTCAGAGAGGCAGGACTTGATGGTTCAGTCTTTATGTAAGAAGACGGACAATTCGACTCTAGGTGGCGCTCCTTACTGGACATTCTGCAGAGAAGCCTAAAGAAAGGAGATGGACATACGATACGAGAAAGAGAAGATAAGTGCAATTATAAATTCTAATCTTAAAAACAAATAAAAAAAACAACCAAAATCTTTAACATTCAGTTAAGTCCACATTAGCAAATACATACATTTATATTTAAAAAGAAAACAAGTAAAAAACAACAACAAAAAAACGATAGATAATTTTAAAAAATCCTGTGTTGGAGAGCAGAGAAGAATTTTTATAGCAGCATATCTTCACACAGCCACATTCACATGCTCAGGGGTGAGGTCATCCGTCACTCTCAAGTCAATAGCAGCTTGTTCAACATGAAGGTAATCAGTAAGCAGCCCCTCTGACACTCAGTCATCCCAGAGACAGGCCATACACACAGACACAGATGCATACACAGCCACATTAAGGCACGCTCACATACTGGTAGAAAAACAAAAAAACACAGACAGTGTACATATTGGAGAAAACGGGAGCAGGCTGATCAGCATCACTTTATGATCAAAGTCCCCTCATCATCTCTTGTACTGTGTCTGTCTTACTTTTCTTGGTTTTCCTTCCTTTTCTCTCTAAGGAGGCAGGCTGGTGTCTTGTTAATGGCAGTTGTAATTAACAGCTATCTTCACTCTGTCCATATCTTTCCATCCGTGCCTTTGTCTACCTTACTATCTATCTGTCTATCTCCCTATCACTTCCCATTCAGCACCATCTCTCTTTCTCTGCCCTCTCCCTCGCCTTCTCTTTCTCTTCACATTACTAGTCTCTGTCCCTCTAACCCTGCCCTCCCTCCCCTCACTCTCTTTCATTGTTAAAGGCAGAAAGCACAAAAGGGGTTTTTAATTAAGGCAGGATGCTGCTAAACGAGGGACTTCTAAAGTCCAGTCGGCCTGTAAAAGATCCTCATCCCACTGGGACCCATAAAACACAGACAGCGCTCCGACGGAAAATGGAGAGCTGCTCAGGTGGGGTAGTGGTGAATGAATACAGACAGGAAGAGAGACAAGCAGAAGAATAAAATTAGCAGGAGCTATAAGCATATTTTTTTAATTTTTCAGCAGAACAAGATATATCTCCCTGAAAATTAAAAATTAAATAAACATTTTTTTTCTTTTGCTTAAAGGGTATAACAATCAGATGTCTGATTAGTCCTTTCAATCTTTTTGATAGTGTATTTTATTCCACTCCCATCCTACAAGCATAACTGATTATTTCTGTATTTGCGGCATACACCAATGTTTATAAATCCATTTATCTAACACTAATGTAGGCCTTACGTTTAAAAAGGGTATGGAAACAAATCAAGCCTGTTGAAAGTAGCAAAGACATAGAAAGAGAGCTCATAAAGACATGAAGTGCTAGAAAAAGAGAAAAGAGAGACACAGTGGAAACAAGTGACAGGAAGAAAAGCAACGACACAAACTTGTCTGCGCTTCAATTGGGGAACTGAAAACAGCAGCGGCAGGAAAAAGCGACTAGACTCATTTAAGTAGATGATGTGGTGGCAATGATTTAATCTCTCCTTTTCCCGTCTTAATGCTCTTTTGTCCCCCTTCCTTTTCCACTGTCAATCCCTCTGAGTACCATTAAGCAAAAGAGTTTAAGTGCCAAAAGATCTCTTTCCATTCTCCATCCCAGTCCCTCTTTTCCTCTATCGTGTCATACTCCGTTCTCTCACTCATTCCCCCTCTGCTTATGAATGAAAAATAATTGCCATCGCAGGGGGAGAAATAAAAAAGAATAAAAAGAAGACATGCGTGCAGAGGAGAGGCACAGAGAAAAGAAGATTAAGAAATCACAGCCAGTGCGCTGTGCCAAGTAAGAGGTTGAATGCATTTATGTATGTATGTTATCAGTATAATTACGGCGCAATGTAGCGACGGCTCAGTGCTGAAAGAGCAGTCCTATTGTACCTTTCTGCTCTTCAGATGAGTGTGAAGAGAGAACATAAGGGCTGGGTCTCACTTAGCTCTTCGTGTTTTCTTAAGCTCAAAAGAAATGGATAAGACGTAAAAAAAGGATTCAGTGTTTTATTTCTTCCAGTTTATCCATGTATAAAATTAATTGATGAGGATGACGAAGGAATTATTGCATCGTACTGCGTTGTTTGTTTAGAAGAACTGACCAATAAAGTGTAATAAGAGTGTCTTTAAAGATTGCCTTTTGCCTCGATTTAGAAAAGAAAGAAAGTTCAAGAAAGGAAAGCAAATATTTCCATTTTTATAAACCTCAGAGGCTTGAAATGCAGTAGAAAACTAACTTTATGCTCACACTAAAAATGAGAGAAAAAATACAACAAACATTTTTATTCAATTATTGACTTCTTTCACCAAGGCCTTTAGAAAAAGTAAAAAATAAATAGATAAGAATAAAAACATTTTACCCCATCTGACCAATCAGAAACATTAAAAAAACTCGGTTATTGAGCAAGTAATTGTCAATACTAAGCAATTTTGTCATTTTAGTCTGATTGTTTAATCTTAGGTCGTAACTCCTCAGAATTAGTTTATTTTTTTATAATTTTTTTTAACAAACCAAGTACACCACTTTAAATTTGACCATTGAAAATATTTCTTTATCTTATATAATTTAAAACCCTCTATGCCACTAACATTAGCAAGGAATATATACAAGTGGAGGACTTAATCAAAGGCAAATAATATATTTTTATATTTATTTGACACACTGACTGTACAGCAAGTGAATCATTCAGCAGCTTATTTGCGGATGCGTTATATATTAGAAGTCTGACTGCTTTGGGGTGGATCTGACTTAAGTTTGGAGGTACTGCTGTGAGTGGTCAGTGTGAGGGCTTTCTAATGGGGGAGGGTTCCAGAACAACATCTGATGTGAGTTGGGAATTGTAGGAATCATACGTACTTTCATGTGAGACTCCAATAGGACATGGAAAAGTTAGTACATTTGCATAGAAATAAATCCTCAATAAAAATACAGATTAGATTAAGTAACCTCTAAAAATAAGCATCAATGGGTATGTTAAATGAAAAAGAAGTAACCTGGCCCCACTTATAGTCTTTGTCGTATAGCTTTAAACTTGATGTCATGAATCAGTGGCTTCAGATATTAACTATTCAGCACACTTATCTTAATCTGCGATCATGCAAAACACTTTAGAGAGATTGCTTGTTTCTGTTTCCCACTCCATGAAAGACAACACAGTGACAGAAAAGAAAGGTTGTGGGAATGTGACAGAATGGGATGAATATAGACTTAAATAGAGGGTGGGCAGCTTTGAGAATGACAAGCTGCCATTAGAGAGGTAGACTTCCTCAGTAGTCTGACACAACTAGCCAAGACAACCATGCAATCATGGCATTAGAGTGATGAACGTCTCAAATTGTGTTCTTCTGCTCTGTGCTATTTACTATGAGCATCTTAAGTCTGCATCTGTGCTATTACTATAATATACACAATCTCAGTAAATTTCACTTACAAGAGGGTAACAGTAAACACTAGCCCTGCTGCTTTGTAAAGGAAAGACTGTGTCCATAAATAACACATAGCTTATCCCCCCCCCCCAAAATCGATATTGCTATATCAACTAAACTTACATTTAACTAGCAGATATAGGTTGCAGATGAGGAAAATGTTAACAAATGTGGTTAAAAAACCCTTTATATTTATAAAACAAACTGTGAACTTTAGTGCCATGAGGTGCAGCAGGATGAAGCTTCCTACAGTGTTTACAATTTATTTTTTCAAAAGTTACAACCAATGGAAAAAATAAGTGTAGAACAGAAAACAGAGAGGAAGCATAAAGGGTGGCTGCTGTGACGGAGAGGGGAGAAATGCTGACAGTGTAGCTACAACGTGTCTGTTAATACCTTTCCTTCACACCTAGCATTGTGCGTTCAGTGCTGATAAGAACACACACTCCAATAAGCAAAAAGAAAAGGCCTTACACAATTTTATCTAGATAATACAGGCAATGCCCAGGAAGGGAAGAAAATAAAGGGAAGCATAGGCAGCATGAAAAAATACACTGAATTAAAGAACTGACTAAGGAGGAAAAGGTCCAAAATACATTTGCATATCCATCGCCAAGTGAATACAGTGATTTCACCAATGGAATAAATTGCGTTTTCAGCCCTTACTCTCATCCTTTGGTGCTCTATCTTAGCTATGTTTCACTTATATGTCATTCTGCAGTATACAGAGTGGGTTAGTGAACAGTTAGTGAAATGCTAAATATTTAGCATTTAAAGACAGCCTCCTCTATCTACGATATATTTACAGATCACTTAATAGTGTACTGGTTTTAGTTAAAATGTTCTTTAGAGTGGAGATAAATCTACTCAAAAAATTGTTTCACTACCTACTTTTACATGTGAAAAATGTTTTCGATCTGATCTAAATCTTGGTTGGAAGTTAAAAATATCCGTTTACATGAATGCAAAATAAAATGATCCGATCATGATGTGTGTATACATGCACCGAGCGTTCGATCAGAATAAATAATTTGAGCGTGCACAGAACTGTCTATTTTTCCTGAAATGCTTTTCTAGTAGAAGAAGCTGTCTGTTCTGCATGCAAATCCATACTTGTCCACTCATCCTCAACTTTAGCTACTTCTTATACCTTCCAAAGACATTTATTTTTCTTTGGTTCTTCAGTCGTTGATGTGTTTTCTTTTACTATGGACCTTCATCGCATCTCATTTTTATTTTTGGTGGTAATTTAGTTAGTTAGTTAAGGGCTCAGTGGTACCTTATGTTAAAGCTCCTTTGCTACAGGGGTAGAGGGTGGAATGGCATGTTCATCCGCACATTAAATTTAGAGCCACCTCCTCCACCAAGGAGCCGGTCAATGAAGGTTAGCAAAGAGAAAAACATCACGCTGATGTTGTGTACGTTATGCAGATGAGATGATTTTACTCCAAAGATCTGAATGGGTGTGTACATGGATAAATTGAGTGGTGATCGGAAAAAAACACCTCTCAGAACCAGAATTAAATTTCTTTCAGATCAGACCGAATCCGATTAGA